AGACGTACTCCTGAATTCGGATCAGATCTTGAATATGCAGCGAATCCCCAAACATACTCGCCTTGGAAACGTTCGAGATATTGAAATCAGTAAAACGTTAGTGGAAACGTGAAGAATCGAAGTAAACTTAAACACTACCTAAACCAGAAAAATAAAATTAACGAAATAATAAAAAAAGATTTCCATATCTATTTTTTTCTCAAGAAATGTAAATCTTTCGTTAAAAATTTATCGTATTTTATTAGTTTAATAGATCATGAAGGTTCTCGGATTCTGTAATATAATTTATTTTTCTGTGAAGATTTCCATTCCTTTTTTGTAGAATTAGAAAATTAAAATAAAATAAAAATCCATTGCAATAATAATTTTAATTTCTCGGATTTTCAGAAATAACACAACATATTAAATTCTACAGAGGGAGAGGGGTAGTCCAGGGGGTAAGCACCGACTTCCAGAGCTAAAGGTCCTGGGTTTAAATCCGGCTAATGACTAGTTATTTTTCATTAGCTCTAGATCGACCCTGTCGGGAGACCCTAGTTGGGCCCACCCAGCCTCTATAAAGTGGGTACTCCTAATTATAAAAAATAATTAAGGGGGGAAACCTGGCGGTTGAAAGTGAAACTCGGTAAAATCACCTCCCTGCACAACCGTTGGCCTTGAAACAGTATTTCTTCACATAGTACTGCACCCAAGATCCTTCATGGGTTATAGTGTTTTTTTTTATTTACTTATTTGGTTTTTATTTAGTCGGCCTAAGACTCCCACTGAAGTCCTATACTGCCTCTATTGTTATATTAAAATATAATAGACATATAGATGTACATTATTATTATTTATTTTAAAAAATCTATTTTGGATTCTTCAATAAATTTGCATAATGCCTTAATAGTGCCGCTATCTAGATCAGCCAGCCCTTGGAGGAATGCTACTTTTTTGGATGAGAGAGTATTTCTTCCAATGTGATTACCGATGCCGCAAAATTAAAATATTTTAATAATTTATCTACAACAAATGTTTGAGGATTTTAGTGTAAGTTGTCACGTTTCAGTTTTGTTTATAATAGTTCGATTTTTTTCTCTTAAATTATGGCATCCTTGTTTTTAGATTGAACTAAGCAAGTCATGGTCCAAAACATGACGAGCATTTATTTGTTTTAACCTGGCAAATCTATAGATCTTTTTTATTAAGTAATTTAGAATAGTGTTAACAAAGTACTGTATTTGACCAAATATCATTAAAATTATATATTATTTAATTCATTTCAAAAAATTTATTAATGTTGAACAATAAATTATTGTTTTGTATATATTCTAAGGTTATAATTTTATTTGCATATGATTGTTGATATTCGTAAATTGATTTTCTTTCAACAATATTATATATCTATTATAAACACATAAAAATCTCTAATTAAATAAGAAATATATCAGCAAGTAATGTATCAATAATTTATTTGTATTTGATTGTATCTGGTAGTTTAAAAAAAAAATTATTTAAAAAAAGAGAAAAAATGGTATTATTATTTTAGTTTATTTATTATTGAATAAAATAGGAAGTGTGTGCAGCAGAACACGCGATAGAAGTGAAAACATCAACAAGGCGAGATTAGTAATATGAAATATAAATAACAGCTCATTATAAAGAATATGAAACATATCCCTTGCATAAGTCCGATTTTTAGTATATGAGATATTTTAATCAATATCTTACATTAAACTTGTAATCATTTGGTTTTCAACAATATTTTTTCCATTTTAACATTTCTAACAATTCCTTCTACTCCAACGGAGGCTATTCAAGCAACCTCGGTTATCATTTCAACTCGTCCTTTCCATTTAACATTCTCAGCTGTATACTGTCCTCCCGGTCATACTCTTACCTATAACTTACTTGAATCCTTATTTCAATCCTTCGGATCGCGCTTTATTGCTGGAGGAGACTACAATGCTAAACACCAACGATGGGGTTGTCGATCATCCAACTCCCGTGGTAACATACTATTTTCTGTCTCAACTTCCAATAGTTACTCTGTCCTCTCTCCTATGAATCCTACCTATTGGCCAACATCCCTCAAAAAACGCCCTGATATCCTCGACATATTTGTCACCTCCCAAATTTCCTCTTCCCATGTCACAATAAAATCCCTGGATGACCTCTCCTCAGATCATTCTCCAGTTCTGCTTTCATTACACACAACCTTCGCTCCTAAGCCCTCGTCCTCTCCTACACTGATTACAGGACGAGTAAACTGGGATAATTTTCGTAAAGACCTGGAAAATAAATTGGACCTAAATATTCCACTTAAGACGAAACGTGATATTGACACAGCCATAAAAGAACTTACTACATCTATAAGTGACAAAATAAAGAATAATACATCTACCAATAAAACTGACAACTCCCAACAGACAAATTTGCCGCAGCATATTCGTATCTTATTAAGGGAAAAACGCAGAGCAAGATCGAAGTGGCACAGGACTAGATATCCATCAGATAAGACATATTACAACAAATTAACTAACCAACTAAAAGCTGAAATTAGAAAATACAAAGTTCAAAATTTACATAACATGACAGAAAAACTTACTACTTGTGACAAATCACTATGGTTGACCACTAAAAAACTCCTTAAATTCAAAGATTTTAACCACCCACTTATTACTGAAACCCAAACCTGGTCCAGATCTGATGATGAAAAATCTCAAATATTTGCTCAACACCTCTCAAAAACATTTAATCCACACCCAGACATCCTTAATCCAACCCACCTTGAGTTTATTGAAGCAGAATTGGATACCCCACTCCAATTGACTCCTCCACCTAAAGCATTTCATCCTTCAGAAATATCCAATATCATTAATAGATTACCTTCTCGCAAAGCTCCTGGCCATGACCTAATCACCTCCCAGATCCTAAAATGTCTTCCTAAAAAAGCCATATTGTTCCTAACCTATATATTTAATGCTGTACTCCGCACCACATATTTTCCTGACTCTTGGAAACTATCCATTGTCAAAATGATACCTAAACCCACAAAGCCGCCAGAACACCCATCCTCTTACCGTCCTATCTCCCTTTTACCCATTATGGGCAAAATCCTGGAAAAACTCATTTTAAAACGCCTGTATCCCATCCTAGACTCTAAACACATTATCCCAGATCACCAATTTGGATTCCGCACATCCCACTCCACTATTCAGCAATGCCATCGTGTGGTAGATGTAGTCTCCTCTGCATTGGAGCGCGGAATGTACTGCACGGGAGTCTTTCTCGACGTTGAACAGGCGTTTGATAGAGTCTGGCATCCGGGACTGATGTACAAACTCCGTGAATTCCTACCACCTACATACTTCCTCATTATACGTTCCTACCTTACTGACAGATACTTCAAAGTCAATCATAACAATGCTTATTCATCTCTTTTTACTCAGTCTGCCGGTGTTCCTCAAGGTAGTATCCTAGGTCCTATCCTTTACACAGTTTATACAGCTGACATCCCAACCCAATCCAACACTGTCATCACCACCTATGCCGATGACACGTGTATCCTATCAGTTAATAACGATCCTTTAATTGCATCCCAAACTCTTCAATCACATATCACAAGCCTTGAAGAATGGTGTAAAAATTGGAGAATAAAAATAAATTCCAACAAATCCCATCAAATCACTTTTACCCTCCGTCGTAAACCTATGACCTCTTGTCCTACAGTATCCTTCAATAATACTCCACTTATTCCTGTTGAGCAAATCTGCTACTTAGGACTCCACCTTGACAAACGACTCACTTGGAACCCCCATACCAGACTGAAACGACTAGAAACCGCCCGACGTTTTCGACTACTGCAGCACTTACTAGACAAACGATCTAAGCTTTCAATCAATTATAAACGACTCGTATATATGACAATAATAAGACCTATTTGTACTTACGGAATTGAGCTTTGGGGCTCCACTAAACCATCGAATTCCTCTCGTATCCAATCCTTACAATCCAAAATCCTTCGTAAAATCCTCAACGCTCCTTACTTTGTCACAAATAAAATCATCCATAAAGACCTTAATGTTCCATATGTTTCCGATCTGGCCCAATCCAGATACCTTTCCTTCCATAACAAACTGCAGAATCATCCGAATCCTCTCGTTTCAAACCTTGCTTCCTCCTCGATCCCTGATAACCCTCCGAGGCGTCTGAAAAGAAGATGGCCTCGGGATCTTCTAATATAGAACTTTAATTTGAGTTCTACCAATGGGTAGTTTCTCTTCATGTTGTACATGCCATGTTACAAATTTCTCATTTACTTATTGTATTCTCTATGTAATACAGTTGTAAATTCCATTGAAATAATAAAAAAAAAAAAAAAACATTTCTAACAGGACGTCGCGTTAAGATACAATTTTGAATAATAGCTCATCACAAAGGGGATGAAAAGATGAACATTTCCCTTGCTAACAATATGCAGGTACAACTTTTAGTTTCTGAGATATTTTAATCCATATCTTCAATAAACCTCGTGTGCTTATTTACTTGTTATCTTTACCTAAAGTCGTTATCATTTCATTACAATGTGGATGGAAAGATGAAGATTTCCCTCGCTAACAATATGCAGGTCCGATTTTTGATTTTTGAGATACTTTAATCCATATACAAAACCACTTATTAGTCAACTCCAGCCGATTTAATCCGAGCGTTATACATCGGAGATCTGACGGCTCCATTTAATTCACTCTCTATAAAAAGAATTGCAAAGATGCGCCTAAGTTTTCACTTCAAAAAATATGCAGGACTGAATTCCGTCACCGAAATAACCGTTTATTCACTGTTGTTTCTATTGACTAATATCTGTCTTATAAGAGACACGAACAACCATTATTAGCAAAAGATGTAGACGGATATTATAATTTATTATATTTTAAGCAACAGACGAAACATAAATTCTATTTTTTTTTTTTTTTTTTTGTTCAATATCCGACATATGAAATTTCAACAGTGGTACATATGATTAGAAACATGTTCAAACTGCATACATATAGTATATTGTAGGTCACTTTCAGAGATCAGAGAAACATCAAAACGTCAACTGGTGCATTATGGAACTGGACGAGATGATCAGCACGTTCGGGATGAGCGAGAGCGATCTCACCGAGCTCGTCGAGTACTTCAATGTGTATCGGATGGATTACATGCCGCACGGAGTATCCAAGGAAGATCTTCCGGTAAGCGTGGACAACTTCGGGGCGCTCCTCGACGAAATGGGCTTCTCCTTGACCGAGGCAGAGCTCTTGTCTTTGATTGATCAGGTCAGCATATAATAGATTTAGAACTAATTCTGTGTGTGAGAAAGTGAGTGTGTGTGGTGTGTATGTGTGTTTATGTGTGTGTGTGTGTGTGTGTGTGTGTTAGAGAGAGAGATTATTAACTTCATGTCAATATACCATCGTAAAAATGTAAGATATAATAAAAAATACAGCGAACTATTCTTTCAAAAAGTTTAACTTGGATGATGAAAAATCTCAAAACCAGCGATGGTCTTGAGAAACACACTATAACCGATTCCAATTACCTGACTTCAAGACAGGTTGCATTTTCCGCAAAGTTTTCATTATTAGTTTGTGGATAGTCCTTCATAAATGATATAAACTGAACTTTTTTCTTTTTAATGATTTCTAATACACCCACTGAGAACTTTACTGGGAAAGAATAATACTTTAATGATCGACTTCAGTTCAAGATCCTAAAATGTATGTAATACTACACTCTCTTTTTTCCTAATCGAAATTTCAAATCAGACATAAAGTAAATACATTCACTTAACATACATATAACCGAAACGGCCATCGATTACATGCTCATGAGGAAGAACTGGATGAGAGATCTCCTTTCTTGATTTAATGAAGCAAAGAGTAGGAAGAGGTGTCGCTGGGTGCTACCCTTCCTCATGCCATTACTATTCCTATCAAATCTGCTGATTGTTTCTCTAATAATAGGTACAGATGAAGGTATAAAATTAAAAATAATCTATTCAGGATATGCAGTAATTTATTCTATTTTACAAAAAAAAAAAAAATATATTCTTTATAAAATGAAGAAAACGAAATTTCTTTAGATACCGATATTACTAGGGGATGGTATAATTTATATTTATTATTATATTTAGAAACGATTTGAATTTGACATGTCATTTACTCATCGCTTTTTCTCTCCACAACTGCGGTTTAGTATTATCAGAAATATCCTGGAACTTGGTAGTTCCAGAAAGCCATTCAGAACATACGCTGATGCAGCGGAAGACAGTCCCCAGAACCACGAAGCAGCTTTGGATCGTCGCCAAGACAAAGAGAAAAAGTACAATTGGAGTTTTATCTCAATAAAATTTTCGTGAAACGAATATTATCAATTCTATTCCAGAAAACAATACTGACTGATGTCCAAATCAGCCTTAATACTCATTTCATGATATAGCTTAATACTTGAAATTATAAAAGTGTGAATTTGAAAATATGTATAATAGGTAAATATATTCATATATGATATGCTATAGATATATTTTCTTATTTAAATCTGCTTCCAGCTGGATCCTAACAAATTGGGCTATATTATCCTCTCCCATTTCCTGATGAATGGTGCTAAACCTCTGTTCGATAAGTGTAGGATAACTGAAGAGACAGCCAAAGAGGTATTCAACTTGATGGACCAGGATCGTGATAAGATGGTGACCTTGGATGATTTAAAGAGAACAATGAAGATGTTTGGGGAAGAACTTCCCAACAATTACGTCAGGGAAATGTTGAAAGAAGTGGACATCGATGGGGATGATATGATATGTTACGGAGAATTCCTCTTCTTCACAACTGGTATAGTTGAATGATTCTCATTTAAGAACGTCTGTATGCATAATAAATTTCTATGGCACTAAGAGATCTTATTTTTTTTTTTTTACGATTTTACTTTATACATCACTAAAATGATAATAAAGTACGATGTCGATCATTCAGGAAACCAAAAATAATTAAAATTAGTTTACGCTTTTACAAAATGTCAACTTTTAATCAATGTCCGTACTTTTTTAAAAAATTATTTATTCAAAATTAGAACTATCGTCATGTTGAAGTACTAAAATCCAGGAGAATTATCCATCTATAACCTTTCGTTAAACAAGCATGGTACTTATGCGGCTTCATGGTTTAAACTTGGGCTTTGAATGAGTCCTTTAATGGGTCACACTATGCAAACAGCCCTTTTAGCAATTTAATGAGATCAAATATATTAGTATAAAATATGCCCATATAAGAGCCGACAAATTTAATTAATATTTCAATTAATTTAGAATCAACTGCAATAGTGATAAAATTCATAAGTTTAATTGCACTAGAGTAAAATTTTCGGTACTCAAAATCATTTTGCTTAATTAAAATGGTAAACTTTAGAACAAAATGTTAGATATATAATTATACGTAATAAGATATCATATAATCTTATACAATAAGATAATTATATAAATATTGACCATTTTCCCTAAAAGTGCAATTCTGAAGATCATTGCAATTTTATTTTAGTCATTTTGTTGAAAATGAATACTTAATTTTCCCCAATATTTGACACTTGCAAAAAAATAAAGTAAAAAAATAAGGCTGTTCATTTCTCTGCAATAGCATAGGTGTCGTCGAATATGTGTCGAATGTTGGTGGAAGTTGAGTATTTATTTATTTGAATACTTTAATCTTTTTTTCATCCAAGAAAAACAACTGTTTCCAAGATTGAAAGGATGTTATAAAAGAAAGAATAAGCTGAAACTAAGCTTTATAACACTTAAATTTTCAGTGCATTCAAGCAATAAAAACAATAATTACTAAGAACATGTGTAACAAATATATATATATATATAAAATGATTCAATATTATAAAAAAGGAAATAAATAAAATGAATGGCCTAAAAAAAAATTAAAAATGGTAATGAAGGAATGAAGATTGCAAATTACAAAAGTAGTATGTTTCTGAAAAGAAAACAATTTTGTAAAAAAAAAGCAGAAATAAAGCATAAATTTTAAAACCCGGAGGAACAACATATACATTTATATAACGCGAATAACCTATCTAGAGTACCAAGATGTGAAGGCTTACAGTGGGGCTTACAATCCAGCGGGACAAAAGTGAATACATAGGAAATCATTCTTTTCTTTTTTTTTTTTTTTTGTTCAATCTTGTGTCTAGTTAATTAGAAAAAGGAGATTTAATTTCGGGAATGTTTATGTACTCCATTAAAAGATAAATTTCAAGATACATATATATATATATATATATATATATATTATATATATATTATATATATATACGCCACCTCTCCTAAAGACTATTGTCCAATTTTCATCCTCTCAAATCTGTCAAAACCCCTCGAAAGAATAGTCCAATCCCAAATTTCCAATTTTCTCGAAGAGTTCAAACTTTTAGATCCCCTCCAATCTGGCTTTCGCCCGGGCTTCTCCACTCAATCCGCCGCTTTAGTCAAAATCACAAACGACATACATACTGCAATTGACGGAAGTATTGGTACTCCTGGACTTCTCCAAAGCATTCGATTCCTTAGACCATTCTATCCTCTATACTAAATTAAAATCACTTTCCTTCTCCCATAGTTCTATCCTATGGTTCCAATCTTTCCTTTCTGACAGGACTCAAGCTGTTTGTATTCCGAATCCACCCTTATCTTCTTTCCTCACTTTTTCTCATGGAGTAGCCCAGGGTTCAAGAATTTCTCCTATCCTTTTTAATTCAATGACCTTCCTAGTTCAATCCAACATTGTTCATACTATCCTTACGCTAAAGACTCCCAAATTTATCTTTCCTTTCCGCCCACTGAGTTATTAGAAACGTTTACGAATATTCAGAAAGACGTAGATAGGATCAGTGCCTGGGCAAGCTTGAATAAATTAAACTTAAACGCATCAAAAACTCAGGCAATTCTTATAGGTTCCAACTCCCTCTTTAGATCCATCTCCACCCTTCATTGCTTGATTACTAATGATCAACCAATCTCCTTCAGCTCCTCTGTAAAAAACTTGGGAATTACCATTGATCAAAACCTATCATGAAAACCCCATATTGCTCATATCTCCAGAAGGTCAATCGGTACACTTAAACTATTTCATCATTCTCGTCAGCAGCTCCCACAACCTATCCGCAAGCTCCTCGTCTCGTATGGGTGTGTGGTATATGGTGGCCTCTCGCTGGAGCTTGAGTACAGACTTAAGAGAATCATGAACTGTTTTTTAAGATTTGTCTTCGGCACTTCGAGATGGTCTCATGTGTCCCACCTATATGCCGAGTCAAAGTGGCTCTTCCCCTCTTCCCGCCGCCTGTACTTCCTTGGAAATTTCTTATATTAAACGATCAACTCCCAGCACCCTTCCTATATCTACTGTCTCCTCCAGCAGAAACCTTTAGCCCACTCAATAAAAACGTGATCCCGTGATTCTCACCTCTATATTCCATTCCACAAGACAAAAACCTATGAATGTTCCTTCTTAGCCCGCTCCGTCACCTACTGGAATTCTTTGCCACATAACATCCGTCATGCCTCTTCACTGTCAACCTTCAAATACCTCCTTTTCAATATCTCCTCACATCGCAAACAGACGATTCGCAACCATAAATTTAATTTTATGAACTGAATTTGTCAGAAGTACATGGTGATGCCTACTGTTTAAGTTTTAACATAAAACAGCAGTGATCTTTGACTACTATTTTTACTATTTATTTGTATTTCTCTTCACCTCAGGCTGTGCTTTTTCTTTCGTGTATATATGTTTATATTTTATACTTTTTGTCTCTCTGTGTTCCAAAATGAGTAAGTACGTATATATAGTTCCTCTTTTACCTTTATACCACAATTAATACTGAGATTTTATTTTATCTTAGTGTTTCCTTATTATTGTATGAATCACTGTAAATATCATTACATTTTGTATTAAATTATGTTTATATTAGATAGACTATTGTTTATAAATTATGTAGTTATGTATATATAGATATGTAATTTCTTTTCTTTCTTTTTTTTTTTTTCATCATAATAATAAGTAAATTTGGAGAAGATTGTATGTTCATTTATGTATATATATATATATATATATATATATATATATATATATATATATATTATATATATATATATATATATATATATATATATATATAACTTACGTCGGTTCGAACTAAGAAAGATAAAAAAAAGAAAAAAGAAAGGTTCGAAATAAAACACGTGGTTGCTCAAATAAGACTGCCTTTATTCTCTCCGTAATGCTATATATATAGCATTACGGTTTGTTTACAACTATTGACTAGGATTAACTAATATATTAACATACATCTAACCATAACTCCCCCCCGCCAGTTTATGAACACTCCTCATAAACTAACGCAGGGTTAGTTATATAATACATAACAAAACAAAACAAAATAATCTTCCTTGGCGTTCCCATACAGCCATAGCACAGAACAAATAAAATTAAACATTTTCCTGCAATAAAAGAGCTACAAATGAAATAAACCTTCTACCGTCCTTCCATAGCTTGTAGGAGACAGAAAAGAGGATATACTACTTATTTACGTTACTGACCCGGCTCTATCGGGAGTTTCAACTGTTCTATGTGAACGGTCCTCCGTTTCCCAGGATCGTTCAGACTCTGAATGGTACAAAGATTGTGTTCGCGAAGTACAATCGCTTTGAATGGTCCGTCGTAGCGTGCCAGTTCTTTCCCCCTATTAGAACCTACCCTACGATAGACTGTCATCCCTATCTTCAATTCCCCCATTCTGTCCTTGAGGTTCAGATTGGCCTTCTCCACCCTTTTCCGTTTTTCCCGCTCTATTTTCCCTCTCGTTTTTTCCCATACTTTCTTTATCTCTGCCCTGTTACAAGTGATCCGTTGAGCTTGTGCTTCGTCCGTGAGTGTTTCCATCCAATCCCGTCGCCGTATATTTACTCCAAACAATACCTCGACCGGAGAAAACCCTGTAACGGAGTGGATCGAATGGTTATAGGCCGCTACTGCTCTTTTCATAGCTACATCCCCTTCCAATCCCTGCTCCCCTTGATAAATACGTAGGTGGTCGCTTAAAGTGCTGTGCAACCTGTCGATATTTCCTCTGCCCTTTGTATGTCCCGGAGTATTAAAGTGCCAATCTATATCTAAACGTTTAACCTCCTCACGTACGGTACTATTGTCGAACTCCCTCCCTCCGTCCGACGTTATGCGATCAGGCACTCCGTAGAACTGGGCCCACGTTTGTAGAGCCCCCCAACCGCCTCCGACAACTTATCTCGTACTTGATGTGTCATCGCTACCTTGCTGAAGAGGTCGATCATTGTAATCCACTTAAACCCTCTCCACGTAAATGTATCGATTTGCACATCTTTCAATGGCATTTCTCCCGTAGGGGTTTCCTCCTGTAATCCTTGAGGTGGCCGCCTATCGTACTTAGTGCGCGCGCATCTCCCAATGATTTCTGAAATTGTCTTCCTCATGCCATCCCAGAAATATCTTCTGCGCAACGCTTGAAACCTTTCTTGTTCTCCCCGATGGTTGGTCTTGCCCTGGTGATGTGCCAGTGTTACCTCCTTTTGCTGCAACTCGACCTACGACCTATCGACGCCTATTTTCTCTGCTCTCCAGAGTTTTTTGATCTTCTCCCAGACGGTCGCATTGCCCACATACAAATGATAAATTTTTCCTGACTCTGAAGCGTCGTGCAAGGCCTTACAAATCTCTTCTTCTTTCACCCCTGGTTGGGACCAAATGGTGTTAATTTTCTTCTTGCCGTATTTACTGAAGTCGATCTTCATGAGCCCCGACGTTCTGGTCTTCCAAATGACCTGTCGTCGCTTATCGTTGATGATCTCCTCACATTCTTCCATGTC